AACATCATCAGTATCCATATAATATATACTATATATTATACTGCTAAACAGGCATCGTTTCAAGTTTTAGGACTGCTCGTTTGGGGGTAAAATATGAAAACTATTTTTTCAGTATATTACTGCTTGAAAATTTTGACACCACTTGCTACAATTTTCAACCTTATTCACCAAAAGTTTGTAGGCGAGGTTTGATTTTATTGCAAGAAAACCTGTCTTGTTGCTTGACTTGTATCGGAAATATTCCTAGAATCAATTTCGGTCAGTCATACCAATTTAACCTTGAAAAGACATCAATTATAATTATTAATCCTATTGCACTTTTACGTCATAAGATATAATTAAAAACTTAACAATATTATTTTACGCATGAAAGAAGATTTTAGATTTATTATACTTAAAGTAGCCTATGATACCACTAGTCCAAAGTATAACAGAGTTCATTTGGGTAGTGGAAAATGAGCAGATGTTGTGTAGAAACTAAAAATGACAATAGCTACGCTGTTCTGGCCGGCAAAAACGAAACATTAAGTTTTGCATAATTTTTAGAGTGATCAAAGAATGATCACATTTTCAGCCTTTGTCGCTGACATACATTCGTGTCTAATTGATTAATGACTAGGTGACGTCTATATTAATTTACATTAATTTTTATAGTCACTCAATATTTCAGCTTACTGTTTAACCTTTTGTGGTATTTAGATGTTCACTTGGTGATTGAGTATACCCTATTCAATTATCTATCAAAGTTTACGAAAAAAATAAATGAAGATAAGGAATGCAGTTGATGACGAATTTTTTGAAAGGTTCATATGTCATGAAGTCGACAGATTTTATTGAAGTACAAAAAGGACTACATAAAGAAACAAAAACAAAAGCCCATTTTCCCTGCAGGATAATGCTTTGTCATCCAGTGACAAATTTAACACTTCTTATTTTATCGATCTTAATTAACTAAAGGTAAATTGTAACTGAAGTATCAGGGAGTGCTTTTTATAACTCAGTAGCCTAGTGGATAGTTCTGTAGCGTTTGAAGCGATGGGGACCGAGTTCAAGTCTCAGTGGGAACACCGTCATTCAGTGAGGTGTACGTCCATTCGCCTGACGAGTTTTGAATAGAACGAAACACGATTGCTGGGTTCTGTTGTTAGCCACTACCTATCCGAAATATCTAAACTTTAGACAAAGATTTCAAAATAAGTAGGGATACTTCTTCTAATTCACTTAGTATTTATACCTTAGTGCAACTGCTAGCTCACTGCAGTGATCAGGATGTGTCCTGCAACAAAACTATCTTTCAAGGTAATCAAATCTCCTTTGTCCCGATGCCGCATTTGAGCACCTGTGTTCAAAAGAAATCTATCATCAATCCTAAACTACCCTTAGAGCCTAATTTCTTAACCTCCCACTTATTTGATTATATCCTGTCATTAAATTTTCAATTAGCCTTAAACCTCAGTCTTAATCAGCTGAGTTCTACTCATTACGTTCTGTTTCATTTTGTCTTCTCATTAATACCAACTTATTGACTTACTGACTGAAATAGTTTCTTGTTCTTAATTATACTGTATCGATGTTCCTGCTCCCACCTAAATTTTATGAGAACTTTCGTTCTAATAAGATTTATATTTAAGACATCATTACATGACTTTATTTAAATTCGCGGAGTTCCTTTACTTCATTATGTCGTTGTGCCATTTCGAATGATTTCATTGAAATATTGCAAATATCCTAAATTGTAGATAGCTTACGAGAATCACTGGAAACGCAAAATGGATCTATATTATTCTGCTCCAGTATCTGTTCTTCCTCTTTTAAAGTTGATAAATGGAAATATGTGTGAGGATTTTAAACATAATGTAGTGGGAGAAACTGAACATTTCGGATAAGCGATAATTTTATTCCGTAACAACCAAGGATAATAATTGCGCTTTTCTTAGACACCATTTTGAAGGACACATATTATATATTCTCTGCCACGTCCTGTTTTCTAAATTTTTCAATTCTCTGAGTAGATTTCAACAAACTATACAGACAGAAGAATGGTATCAGCAATCCTTATACGACCATTTAATATTAAAGTCATAAGTAGTAAATATATGTATCTGATGATAAATTCCCAATGACTGATGTATCTAGTACACATGATCATAACAACATAACTCAGAAACCCATGTACTGACTGAAGATTTTGGCTAGGCTATATCAACTTAACTTATTTTTCATATCTTGTTTGTGATATATACGGCCCAGTGTATGCGGTTTCGATTATCACTTAAAGAGGCTGAGCTGGAGTGTGAATAAGCTGGAAAAATAATTGGTTGTTTCGTTCTTAAAATAAATAAACACCGTTACACTAACAATGACCCTGGGCTACACCAAGTAGAGTGACAAATTTGGGTGACTTACAACTGTTTATAATTTGGTCAGTATTTTGTACTAGTCTTCACCAACAATAAGGTCAGAGATTATGGTATTTAGTGTTAACTAAGTGTTTCTTGAGATATTTTATTCAAATCTCATTTGAGTAGTTTATAATCTTCCGCCTGCGGTGCATTGTTAGTTAGTTTAACCTAGATTTAAGGCTCTAAATGACTGAAAACTTTATGCATTCTTCACGACGTACGTGTGTTGTTGGATGAACTAACATTTGAGTATAAATAAGCTTTTGTTAAGTGATTCACTTTTCTTGAGACTATTCCTTAGGTATCAGACTGCTTTCTAATAACTATTCTTGATTGAACAGACTAAGTTGCAGTATCAACGTTTCGGCAACAAATTAAATTAGGCCTGTATTTAATTCGTTCTAAGATAAGCATTATCTGGCTGATAAAATCTAATATGCTGAGGTGATAACACATTAGACAAATCTGGTAGCCTTGGAATAAATGGATAAGGGTAGCAAAAGCTCCTAATTTACTATGTATGTCACACCCACACAATATCTAATTACTGTTATCTAACTTGTAAGTTAAAAACATTTTTGCCTCTACATTTACTTGTCTGCTGGTTTGCCTAAAAAAAGTTAAGCAACGTAATATCTTTAAAAAAATACATTCATCATCTACGCTCGAATAACAAGTAAAATGCTAAAGCCAGGGTTCCTTAAATTAGAAAACAAACATTTGTTGCCTGCTTAACTGATTTTCTCCCAGATTTAGCTTTAACTGAATAAGCAAGGATTACATAGTCGTGTATATTTTCAAGATTTTCATTGTCTGTCCAACATGTTGGCAATCTTGTTTGTAGTAAGAAAGGTCAAATGATGTATTACATAACAATCAGTGTTTTGCACTGTCACGTGTCATTGTTATTCAATAGGCGAAAACAAGCTAATCAACTCATATAGATGTCTACATGGGTGTGCACCAATCGGTTACGTAATTTGTCATTAGGGAATAATTGGAGACGTTTTTATTTATCAATAATTACTTTGAATTATAAACTGGTCATGACAAGATGTTGTTGAAGTCAATTAAAATGAAGTTTATCATAAATGGAAGTTAGATAAGCTTTTAGTGAAATTACAATGAATTTCCTCGATGATAATTTATCAAGTTCCGTAGATATATCTTAATTAACCAGACTGTTAGACTAAACTGACTATTAAATTTAACTGTTGGAGAACAACGTTAAAAATGTATCCCATTTACTTTTATCCTAATCGTTTAGTGTGATAGGAAATGAATTGATTGTTGTCGGTTTAGTGGATCTACAAAGCTAGGCGAGCATTCTCAACGCTGAGTAAATTAAAATTCACATATCGAAATTCACTGGATGTTTATATTTTACGATGACATTCTATGGTAACCTTGTCTCAAAGTACTGCAGATCACACCTCTAGATAGTGATCTTGAAGAAGTCGTTTACCGAGTCTGTCAATAGCGATTCTAGGAGTACTGAAGGGGGCATGAAATAATATTCTTCTTGGTTACTTTACTAATAAATGCATTTAGTGAACATTCAGAAAACTCATTAACGTAGTTTGTTTTCATAATTATACGACAACTGTCTGCTTACCAGTTAGTGTCAGAATTCCCTATTCATTGAAACGGAATTCTGCTGGCTACTGGAACACAAAGGTCAAAAAAATAGTACCCATAGGACTTGCTAAGTAACCCTAAGTGACTGGTCAATAAGGTACTGGTAAGATAGTAAACATGTATCTTTTATGAACAAAGAGCCAACTCTTTAAATAGTAATGCTTTTTATTTATGAAGCACTATTATAATAACAATCTCTAAGTAGGTCGACAGGATTTGACGTGCTCTGGAAATTATCGAAATCTTTGGCTGAGTGCATTAAGTCCTGTCAACGTAAGAGGCAAATTGAAATATTCTCTGAGAGGAATTCATTTCATTTGAGGTTGCAGCTGACAAGGGTCAACAAGCATAAAACTTAGATCTAGAGCTGCCAACCAATTGCCTCTAATCATCTGTAACCTGAAAAAATCCAATATCAACAAATAATTACAGGGTGAGATGACTTTCACTTATCAGTGTAACAAATACGCATAAATCGAAAATGAATCTTCAATTTCAATTCATTCAGTGGTTATCATTCTGTTTATCAGCATACGACTATCTTGAAAGAATGAGATTGAAATACCTTCAAATAGATCATCATGTCATACCTCACTAAGTAATAGCTGACAGTGGGTTCAAAACAAAACATCGGCAGTTTCGTAATAAATACAACTTTATAAATAACCATTATATGTACATGTAAAAATAAAAATGAATATTCTGTAAATTATCTATAGAATAAATAAAAATAATGTTCTCAAACTCTGATTTATACAGAAAATAATAAAATAGTACAACTTGACATCTGTGCATGTAATTAACAATCTTGTTTGAAAGAAAGTATGATTAAATGAATCTCGTTAAAATCTTTATACAAATCTATAATAGATGGAGGAGTGAATATTGTCAAAGGTATCAGTCAATAGTTCAAAGGCAATAATAAAATATATGCATCTTTACAAGTAGAAATCAGACAAATTAAGAAAGACTCAGTTTGATTGGGCATTTTTGTGAAAACTTGAAATCGGAATGATGGCAGGATTTAATTTTAAATTCAACAAGTTCGCAACCCCGTATAAGATTTCTAACCTCTTCCACATCTAAATTAGCACATGGCATACCCTGAACTTCTAAAATTCTGTCACCAACATGAAATACATCCCATAGTTTAGCAGCACACCGAACACTTCCCAGTCGACTAACGTAAATGCCTAAAATGCAAAGGATAAATAATTCAGATATATTAGATTTTTAATAATGACTTGATTAAGTCAACAGAATGTCAGCACTAGTCTTAGCTGACCTTAGAAAATTAAACAGAAAAGATCTCAGCTTTGAATGTTGATTAAATTAATACTTCACATTATTGTGCCTATAACAAAAACGAATACAACTGAATGTATCCACTACTATTTACAAAAACCTTCGAAATGGGCTCTCTTGAAACCAACTTAGATAAACGTGAGGCTTGAATCAATATCTACGTTCTTTATAATTTAGTTATCTGATAATGAAACTATGTTCAGTGAGTTGTATCATATAAATATTAATTACCTTTCGAATCACGAGCAATGAAAAATCCAAACTGTCCATTTGTTGATGAACGCCGTAATAAAATTTGAACTGAACCATCAGGATTTTTTCGGATAACTTCACAGGTAAGCTTGTAGGAGGCGTCTGTTTGTACATTGGTGTCTGACTTCATATTCGCAACAAGTGGATCATTTTTATCGGGAGTCTGTGAAGGTGATTTCAAATCATGACAAGCTTTTCTTATTTCACTTGGTGTAGATGAATTTTTATTTAATCGGTCTGCACTAATTGCTCTCCTTAGATTACCGAATTTTTTTCGTAAATTTTGAAGTACTTGAGTTGTACCAGATGTTCGAAGTCCGATTCTGTAATTTATCGAGTAAACAAAACATGGATGAGTGAGCAGCTAATTGTCTGTAATTAGTTCAAATTATGTTGATCAATAACTTTAAAAAATGACCTGAATTTATAACATTCCTAATCCTTTATTTACATTACTGAATTAACCTGGTAATATTTTTGTTACTACGTCAGTTGACATAAAAATAATCCTTTTTTCAATGTAGATCATGATAAACTAAGAGATTAAAAATAGTAGGTTTTCATACTGTGATTTATATTTTGCATTGAAGGTTATATCTGGTAAGAAACCGAAGCTTAACTAGTTTAATTCTGCGACACATGGATTTAGAATAGACAGTAGAACCTAACTGCAACAACATTGGTAAATGAATGCATAAACAAATAACTCACCCAGTATGTCGCCTTTCTTTTGGTTTTCCACTCTGCGAAACCACTGAAGTGAAAAGAAAGCAACAAATTAAGACATGAAGACAATAATAGACTACTTTTTTTCAGAAATCAACGCTTGATAGCCACATAAAAGTAAAGTATTTATGAAACTTACTACTCAAGTCAGTGGGAGATGTTTGTGTTTCTGCGGTACGCGATAAACTGGCTCGAGAGTGAACATTTCTTTCCCATGGTAATGATACAGATGAATAACGAATTGGTAACTGAAGGGGAAATCCACTTGGCATTGGGACTGGACAAATAGGCGATAGATTTTTCCTTGAATTTTCAGGAGAGGCTTGTATATTTTTGGGGAAAACAAAATCCCCTGCACTCTTTCTCAGACAATATCTAGGATGTGTCTTCACTTCGGCACCCATGGCCATGAAAATTGCGTCACTGTCGTTTCCTAACCGAACAGACTTATAACTGTCAGTGTAGCGAGGCTGCTTTGGTTCTGTGATGACCTGACAAGTACTAAGGTGACGTTTACGTGTTGTATTAGCGATTGGAGATAAAGACTCCAGAGAGGTACTTCCATTTACAGAAGTGTTCAGTGATGAGTCAAAGGTGGTTTCAAAAGCTTTAGTGGGACTCTTTTCGTGAAAGGAAAGTTTGGAAGCACCGGTTCGAATGGGAAAGTGTCGACGGATGTCTGACTTGGAAGTGTTAACGTTCTGCTTATCAGATCGATACGATGATGACCGTAAAGGCATTGGTAGGACGTCATATCTTGATTGAGAAGTCTTTGTCAGTGACAGTCTCCCTGATGATACACGAAGTACTGGTGTTGATACATTATTGTCCATTGTTAAACTGAAAATTTTTAGAAAAAAGGAGACAATATGAATATTTTTATACCCTTGATGTCATTGATAAGTTGAATGAAAAGAAGACGTCAGCCAATCAAAAGACTTCTAACTACGTTGCGTAACAGTGGGTTGGACATTCACATATCATTCCTAAAGTTACATGCGCAGCACAAATGTAAGTAGACGACATATCTCCTATAATGATCAATTTAGTGTGAAAGTAGACTAAACCGAATGTTTTGTGAAATATGTAATTACATAATTTGTAGTGTTACGCAACTAACTGAAAATTCCAATCAGAATTTTCTCCCCCCTCCAAAAGTAGAATATATAGACATGCAGTCATGCACTTTGATTCAAATTTATGTTAGATGAAACAGGATCTTTGGATTCAATGACGAATTTTACTGATGCCAGTGTACCTTGTGGTAAATTCGCGGTTTTCTATATCCCACAACTATCCTACCGAACAACTTTTGTAAGATATGAAGATACGCACTTCAGCATACTTGTTTATTCATAATACTGGGTACCTGTATCTAACCTGGTCATCTAGATGTTAATTGCTTTTGTCATAACAACAGATGATTAATCATTGTACAAAAGTGCCAAAAACATTTGTATTCAGGTGCTTACAGTCTTCTTGATAGATGAATACAATACTTCGTGGTTTTTGCATGAGGTTGCTGGTGTTTGCTAATGAGCCTCAGGAGATTAGCCTTCTCATTTTACCATAACTCTCCAGTCAGTGTCTATTTGATAAGCATTTGACACCACTGACAAATAAGTATTATGACAACCGGTATTTTGAAATGTCTCATTGTGGTTTGACATCAGGTCATCCAATTCAATAGTAGTTTCAGCTATTGGTGATGAGCTTTGAAACTGCTCTATATTTGCATAACGGCTCTCATCTTTATCACAAAGTAAAATAGCATATGTATATAAATAATTGAATTATACCCAAGTAGTTTGAATGATCCCACTGTATAACATCTGAATCTGGAATATATATTGAGGCTTTCGAATATAATAAGCATTAAAAGTAGGTATACAAAACTACAAAATCTGAACCTAATTAACAGATAAAACTTTTATGCGCTTTCGACACTCCTTCAGATTATTGTTTGAATTTGGTGGTTCTACTTATTTTTAATATAAGTAGTACATAGTAATGTGTAAAAGTTTCTACAAACGAAAAGAAGTGGCCGCATTACCTTCGGTTGATGTGATGAACTGTATGATATTCTATCTCTATGCACTCCATTATGAGACAATGCACTGAGCAATGAATCACATGACACCAAAAAGGATGGTAGGTAGATACCTGATTTACAGGTAAGAAGCTAGTAGCTAACCTAATGCGACACATTTCTTTCATGTCCATACTAAACGCTCTTGAAAATTTTTCTGCAGATGTGATTGATGTACAGAAGTAAATTAAATACCAACAATAAAATATGAGTGTGAAATCCAGCTTCATACATCAGAATCAGTAATTAAATATGAAAGAACTATATTAAATATTTTCTGGTTTGGAAGATCAAGACTTCAGTAATATGTTCACATCTCACTTGTCACAAAAGACTTGAATTGTTTTTACAGGCATCGATAAAAATATTCCAGAAAAGTGAATTCGACTGATCAACTTACTGCGTTCCATTTCCATAATCTATTTCGCTATCTGTCTTCTCCTTATTATCAACCAACTCTGGATATTTCACTGTTTGACATGATGTAGCAGTGGGTAGAATATTCGAGATAGCCCGTAATGGTCCACGATTTTGCCGTTTATTCTTTTGCATAACTCCTCTATTTGAAGTTATAAGATCTACAGTCCAGTAATCCTCAAGTATAATTATCCCTTAATGAATTCCTTTCTGTCAATGTTTTCTGCTTTTAAAGCGTTGCAAATCCAACTGTTAGCTTAGTGTTACAAAATTAACCAATGAAAATTAGATTTCAGGACAAAATTGTTTTGCTTAAATTTTATTGGCTGGCACGCGTTCAGTCTTCCACGATATCAGGCTTGTGGCTGACTTGCTCACTTTGACTGCTTGTAGACAAATTTTCTTCATCCTATAGTGTTACCTAAAATAAACTGAGAGTAACTTAATGTAGTCGTATTTCGTGACTAATTCTAACGTAGCAACTAGACAAGGAATGTAAGTAGGGAAAAGAAATGAGATTAAATTTCTAAAAATATATATATAAGTAAATTTTATAAAATAGTTTCATATTATCCTTTCGACAGTTTCTGCTTTCATCGATATTCGTTTCATATGATTATTGGAAATAAAGATTTGAAATGAAGATAATTGAAATGTGAATTAAGGGTTATGCAGTATAGATAGTTTACAAATAAAGTATTCATTTTACACAAGAACGGTAAGTGAAAGCAAACAAAAACTTAGATATAGGCTGCACATGAAGAGGTGACATTTTGGTTACCAGTTCAACAAGTTGCTGGCTAAAATTTTTAGAGTAACGAGAGTTGACCAAGTTACAATCTTACTTTTAAAATGGTAGCACATAAGAATATCGATTCTAAAAGAATCCTGAGTTATATAGTAATCTGCTTTGTGGTGGCAAGTAGTGGAATCCAGGACGCGCATTTTGACATTTTTGGGACTCGTCAGCTGGATGCACCTGTAGATATGGCCTACAGGATAATGCTCTGGCGTTTGAAATGATTGGTGCTTGGTCCGAGTCTCAGTGGGAACAACATTACTGACAAGGGTGCACGTCTATCCAGCTGACGATACTCGAATAGGACGAAAAGCGCCTGCTGGACTCCACTGGTAGTGACAAGCAAGTAAACCATAACATAATTAATAACAATGCATTGTCGAGGTGTCTGCTTAGGAACTCATATAACAAAAGAAATGAGTAAGTTAGATCCGGAATAACAACAGTGTTAATAAATAAATGGTGTGATAACCTATAAAGAACTACAACAGCTATTGCTCAGATGAGATCATGATCATACTCTTTAAAAATCTTAACTGATCATTACCACGACATAGTGACAAGTTCAATCAAGCCACTCCTGCGCACTTAAATACTATGCATTGTATCGTGATTCACTAAATAATAAATGCTGAAACACTTCGTACTGCTATAGAATGCAAACTAAATTCAAACACTTGAGGTGTCCATAGGTTATAAAGCAAATGACCGAAAATTTACTGATATTTTCAACCAGCCTATTCACTATCAAGATTTGCAACATGTTATTCAATGTTACGAAGTTCAAAAGTTGTGCTTTTAGAGAAGAAGATTACAGGGGATGGTCACGCTTTATCGTGAACTGACAAAGTTGGAAATATGGACCGCTTGAATCCAAATCAGTGGGGCAGTGGTAACGTGCTTGGCTCGGAATCTAAAAGTTTTGGTCTTGAACTCTGATGGAGAGGGGTCACGGATGTGCACTGCTGAGAAGTCCCATACTAGGATGAAACGGCTGTTAAATGCTCTCAGGTACCCAGTGTTCCTCCAACTGATGTCAGTCCATCACGAATATCAACTTGTAATCAACAAATCCCCACAAACCCCAAACTGGAAGATAGAGGAAGGTTACATTATAGTCGGCAAAATTTTTAGACTAGCTAAATTTTTTTAACAAATACATCAGATTGCTTCTTTTTAACTTGTTTCAATCGTTCAAATGTCAATAAATAATAATGTGTAGTCTCACTCCTTTTTGCAATGTTTTCAATCTATAGTTTTTCAAGTTACCAGTAAAATTAAGTGAAAACATCACGGTAGACAGTGACGTACTGTGAACAGCACAACAATGCATCCCGTAATTATTACCACAAACTGTTAATTTTCATGCTGGCCGAACGAACTTTCATCAATTCATTAACACATGCCTTCGGTTTGTCTCCCTTGTACAGCAACGTAAACGATAACTCAACAACAGCTAGTCATTACATCATATTACTTACAATACTGTTACTATTAACGTTATTTGGAATCTACATTCCTTCTATTTAAAAATAGTTTATAAGGGGTGAGTTTGCTGAGATATTACGTAGTGAGAATTCAATGCTTTATCAAGAATACTTTCTGAAATAAAACGGTTGCCGCAAAAATTGAAAAATTCGTGAGGACAAATACTCAACGATGACATTGGGTGGCGGTTTGCGCTATATCGTGAGCTAACAGAAGTTGGAAATATGGAGCATTGGATTCTGACCCAGTGGCTCAATGGTAACGCGCTGGTCGCGGAACCTGAAGGTCGCGGGTTCGATCCCTGCTGGTGGGGTCGTGGGTGCGCACTGCTGAGGAGTCCCATACTAGGACGAAACAGCTGTCCAGTGCTCCCAGGTTTCCTTTGTTCCTCCAACTGATGTCAGTCTTCGATGAATAACAACTTGAAATATTTCCAAATCTCCACAACCCCCTCAAAATTTAATTGAAAAGACATTCATTAGCAAACAAGACTTTTCTAGTAACTCTATATTGTAGCTGAACAGTTATAGAGTAGTTTAATAACATCATGAATAGTCCCGGCAAGGATCAAAGGTTAACGCCAGTCAGTAACAAAACATACTGAACTGGGAATCGGAAGATAATATGCAGTATGGCTGAAAGTGACCACCTTTCCACAGTACATATTATTGGTATACCATAGAAGGATATTTTTCATTTTAAAGCAACTCTCATTTTAAAATATGCATTGCAGTTTCGAAAACCGCTTTATTCAACAACAAAAATTGCACGTGGATTCAGTTTGGATAGCAAAAGTTTATTGTAGGCCTATTCATTTAAAAATAACCAGAAAAAGTTTAAATTTATTTTTTCTGAAGGCTAAGTCGCTTTGTATATAGTTTGTACACGTAAACATAGGCACCTCGATTCATAAATATTTAATCAGTTCAGTGTGTGCAGGTATGCATAGTCAAACAAAGACCAGTTTTACAAATAAGACCAAACCTAGTCTGATACCTGACTCCCCACTAGTTCAAACTAGTGATCCCAAATGGTAAGGAAAAGTGTGCTATAGTTGGATGTTAACTTAATATATGCATGACTAATGACTTACACATATGTATACCAACACGCGAATGCTTTGATGGATCAGATCAGACGCGTGCAAATTGTGCACGTAGTAGTGATTGAATTATACGCTTTCGTATGTGAAGTATTAGTGCACGTATGCACTATCAAACTGAAAGATCTGTGTATGTTTATTTCAGGTCAAAGAGATTTACATTTCTCTTTATAAAAGAAATATTGTGCATTCATACAAGCCATGTGTTTTAAAAAGTGTAGGGTAGATGGGGAGGTGGAGGCAGATTTATGATTTACACTTAAGTTAATTCATAATCTAAACAAACTCTGGATCAATCACGAATGGACATAATGAATAAGTAAATTCACTTTCTTATAAGGGAATAAGATAAACAATTCTAAATCAACTGTTAACAGAATGTAAAGAAAGAAATCGCTGACCGTTCATTTAGACCTTTGTCTGTCAGATGGAATGCAAGACAGTGATGCCTCACGAATGTTATGCTAATGAGAAAACGTCTAGCCAATAGATAAGACCCTGGTATTACTTGTCAGCATGAACTAACATGTAGGGATAGTACCTATAGACTGGTGGCTGCATCAACAAAATAAGTGACTTTCAGAAGTGTATGTTCATCCTAAGGAAAAATTACACCTGGAATCAAATTTAATTCGAACCTTTTTCAACAGTCGACCCATACTCATTCGATACTAGGTGATGATTGAAGGTGAAATGAAAATCCGAGCCACTACGGGACTCGAACCAGCTCCCTCCGAGATGCTGACCTGGCGCTCTACCGATTGAGCTGCGAGACCTAACAGCTGACCAGATCTTAATTTCACTTTAATCCTCAGGGTTTTGCCTTACTGTTGCGTAAATCCATGAAGCAGTACTATCCGTCCCGAGTCGGTTACCCAGAGGTGACTGGTTCGAATCCTGTCACAACCCAGATTTTCATTCCACTTCCAATCATAGCCCAGTATCAAAACAAGTGCACCAGACTACGACTATCTAATGTGGTCAAACTGACGATACAGATGACTGATAGAGATGGTTGGAGGGTGTCATCAAGAAACCACGGAAATCTGCTTTTGCTTGTTGGTGCTCATCAGCAAGGTGTTTTGTCGACCACATTAGAGACTGGATAACGTGAAAATGGTCACTATGCAGTGACCAATCAAAATATACCGTTCTATCCTACAGGAGTTTATTCTCAGCCCAAACAGCTCAGTGGGGACATTTCTGACTGGAACACCGAATGACGTGGGATCAAATCTAAGTTTTTTAGAAGTTTTAAATGTACTTTACTGACAAATACCAACAAGTACGAAACTTCAACACAGCTTCGTGTGAATTGCTTGAAGTTACCTAACATGTTGAACTTATCAATATTTGTGAAGTGTTTGACGTTGAACTAGTAGTTTCTCGAAGTATATGTTCTGTAACTTAAAATGAGTTCTCATATAAAATACTTCTGAAAATTAAATGATGGTAGATTGAAGTTGAGCAACGTAGTTGATTTCATACTGACCAACAAGAAGCTTCCTATAGGTATTAAGTTTATCATACTATCGCCGTATATGACGGTCCATCATAGCGTTTTGTTGACCTTCGTCACGTCAAACAGTGGTTTATTTATTTATCGATCTGTAATGGAGATCAGGCAAGCTTCTTATGCATAAACAATAATCTTTTTAGAAGTATTATTCATTGTAGACTTACATCAGTTGGGGAACCATTCAAAAATCTGGGAGCACTGGGCAGCTGTTTCGTCCTAGTGTGGGA